TTGTATACGTTTAGCTCCTTTATCGAAAATGAGGTGTTCATAGGTTTGTGGGTTAAAATCCGGGTCTTCTATACGATTCCATTGGTCGACTTCTCTGTTTTTATGCCAATACCACACTGTTTTCATTACTGTGGCTCTGTAATAGAGTTTGAAGTCAGGGATGGTAATGCCTCCAGAAGTTCCTTTTTTGTATAAGACTGTTTTGGCTATCCTGGGTTTTTTGTTTTTGTAATAGCCAGAACCTGGAAACAACCTAGAAGCCCTTCAATGGAAGAATGGATGAAGAAAGTGTGGAATATATACACATTAGAGTACTACTCAGCGGTAAAAAACAATGACTTCTCGAATTTTGCATGCAAATGGATGGAAATAGAAAATACTATCCTGAGTGAGGTAACCCAGACCCAAAAAGATGAACAAGGGATGTACTCACTCATAATTGGGTTCTGGCCATAAATAAAGGTCAGTGAGTCTATAATTTGTTATCCTAAAGAAGCTAGATAAGAAGGTGAACCCAAAGAAAAACATATAGCTATCCTCCTGGGTATGGGAAGTAGACAAGATTGCCGGGGAGAAAATTTGGATCTTGGGGGTGGGGTGGGAGGGGGGTAAGGAGAGATGGGGAGAGAAAAGTAAGAAGGGTAGGATGGGGAGAACTTGGGGAAATGGGATGATTGGGATAAAGGGAGGTTGGATAGGGGAGCAGGGAAGCACATATCTTAATTAAGGGAGCCATCTTAGGGTTGGCAAGAGACTTGGACCTAGAGGGGCTCCCAGGTGCCCAAGGCGAGGTCCCCAGTTAGTTCCTGGGCCAGCTGAGGATAGGGAACCTGAAATGACCCTATCCTATAGCAATACTGACGAATATCTTGCATATCATCATAGAACCTTCATCTGGTGATGGATGGAGATAGAGACAGAGACCCACAATGGAGCACTGGACTGAGCTCCCAAGGTCCCAATGAGGAACAGAAGGAGGGAGAACATGAGCAAAGAAGTCAGGACCACAAGGGGTGCACCCACCCACTGAGACGGTGGGGCTGATCTATTGGGAGCTCACCAAGGCCAGCTGGACTGTGACTGGAAAAGCATCGGATAAAACCGGACTCTCTGAATATGGCGGACAATGAGGGCTGCTGAGAAGCCAAGGACAATGGCACTGGGTTTTGATCCTACTTCATGTTCTGGCTTTGTGTGAGCCTAGCCAGTTTGGATGTTCACCTTCCTAGACCAGGATGGAGGGGGTAGGACTTTGCACTTTCCACAGAGCAGGGTACCCTGACTGCTCTTTGGACTGGAGAGGGAGGTGGAGAGGAGTGGGCGGAGGGGGAGAGGAGTGGGTGGAGGGGGAGAGGAGTGGGAGGCTGGGAGAAGGCGGAATTTTTTTCAATAAAAGAATTAAAAAAAAAAGAAATCTACACATGCAGATATCCCTTACCCAGAAACAATCACCAATTGATAATCACTTGCAAAAAAAAATTTTATTTTCTTCAAGGATAAGATAAGAAACTACTCTCAGAGGTAGGCAAGCTGAATGCCAACCCTCAGTAAACTCAACAGCATCTTTGGAGGTTCCTTGTCTCATAATGTCATCTCTGAACTTTCCTTTTTCTTCCTTATGCTTTTGTTTATATTTTTCTTATCTCTTTGTAAACTACAGTTCCATTTTTATATATATTAGAGGTCCCAGTTTAGTGTTTTTTAGGATTCATGCCTGCATCTATATGTTTCTTGTGATTTAACTTTGGTATTTCATCTAATTTTTTGTTTTGTTCTATTATTCTTTGTTAGTTTTTCTTTTACTTAATTATATCATAATATACTTTATGTTATTATTCCCTCTTAGAAAGCAATCTGTTTTCTAATGAGAAAGAGAGAAAGAGACTGCATCTGGATGTGAAAAGTTTTGGGGACTTAGTGTGAGTAGTGGAGTGAGAGAAAACTATATCCAGGCTATATTATCTGAAGTAATATAGCTATTTTCATAAAAGGAAAAGTAAATAAATATAAATGTATAAATGCACATCATTTTTTCTGTATTATTCACATGAAAACAATTGTGTTTATGGGAGAAAAAGTTGGGAGATATCATGCAAGGTAGTCTCCAATTGTAGGATACACATTATGATGATTAGAGAAAACTTCAGTTCCTGAGTAATATATTATGGTTTATATACATCACTCTCCTATGCTTCAAAACAATTATTGCTGAATCCAACATATCTTTTTGTTTGTTTATTTGTTGTTTGTTTGGTTTTTTGGTTTTTCGAGACAGGGTTTCTCTGTAGCTTTGGAGCCTGTCCTGGAACTAGCTCTTGTAGACCAGGCTGGTCTCAAACTCCCAGAGATCTGCCTGGCTCTGCCTCCCAAGTGCTGGGATTAAAGGCGTGCGCCACCACAGCCTGTCAGAATTCAACATATCTTGGCTACATAATAAAATACTGTATATGAATCCAGGAATATAAAAACCAAACAAATTGTCTCTGAAACAGTAGACATTGTCACAGAGAACCAAACACAGGTGAACGAAGTCAACATCAATACATTAAGATAAACTGATTACAGGTTTTCACAAACAGTCACATAATTATTGTTGTCATAGTCACTGCCCAAGAAATAAAGCAAGGAAACTATCAGTTTTATGCTAAGTACAAGCTAGATATATCTGCCACATTCTAGATTGTCAAGTAGAATACTACATATGTAGTTTTAGTTTCTGTAATATGCCATTTCTAATACTTCTTTTCATAAGTGAATGGGTAATTCTAGGTAAAGTATTCTATGTGATTGTATATTCATTTTCATAAGCCAGTGAACCACCAAAGCTTCCAGATGGAGGTCATGCCGTACATTTGCATTTCCTTTCTTTTTCTCTTTTTCATTTTTTCTTTTTTATTTCTTCTCTTTATATGAAGATATGAAATTGTGTCTGGAGGTATTAGACATCAGCAAGTTAAAACATTCATCTATCACAAGGAACTTGTCAATGACGAGCATCAACATTTCATTCAGGATATATGCCATGATAAAAATTGACAGGCAAGAACAAAATGGAGGGAAGTCCACACTGTGTAAACAATATACATTTAAAGACTCAATCATAACTCTCACAAGAAGCAAAAGCAAGTAAATTCATTAGAAATAAACTTCCTATGGAAGTCTATGAGAATCAGAGAAGTAAAGATTTACAAAATAAATTTATAAACTTTGTAATAGAAATTGTGCATAGCTACTGAGCAGAGAGACATACTTACTGCAGAACCAGCCATCTCTTCTGAGCATCTGTCTGAGGGAAAAGCTTGTATCCCTGTACCTCTTGGAATCTCTCTTCAGGATTTGCATTAAAAGTATCATCAAACACCATTCACTTGTGAGAAGCACACTCACCACCTGCAGAGTCTCAGAAATCTAGAGAGTATTTACTCCTGGCTTGGTTACAGAGATATTCATAAATATGGGAGAGATGAAAATGCTGTTTCTCCCTTGTTGAGTTCAGTTGATCTCAGCTGTCAAGTTATGCCTTGAGAACTGGGGCTATACTGCCCTGGTCTACTCAAACAAGCAAAGCAGAATTGGGAAAATGAAAGCTGAACTCAACTGCAGATCAAAATCCTATAAAGCTGATCATGATATTCACCTGGTTTTTAGTGGCAGAGTTCACAAAGATGTTGGGGTTGCTGCTTAGATTTACAAGTGGAAGTTGTGGAATGAAGCACAACTGAAAGTAATTTCTTCACTTGGCATTGGATCCTAAGTAACAGTCTGGGCTGAGAAGTGTTTGCAAAACATTAACTCTCACATTGCTAAAACTATCTAAACCATTTATTTTTCGCATGAAAATGCAGTTATTTGTGACTTTGAGAATAAGAGAGAACTACAAAAATTTTTGGCTTCTTTCAATGGAAGTAGTAGAGTTTAAACCACATCGATACTAGGTTTCATTCATTAAGCATGAAGTATTATCACAGTATGTTATGGTACATTCATATTGACTCATATATTCTGATTTGTATCAAAAGATGGTACTGTGCTTACCATAATTCCCTTGAGGACTCTAATGTTAGGAACCATCTTTTTTCTTAAACATAAGTGTTAAAGAAGAGTTATATTAAATATGTGGGGGTAGGCAAAGAAAGACACCAAGTAACTAAGAATACATTTTAATGTGTTTTCAGGTGGTTTACACAATATCTGTTCAAGTTTGAAAGATACAGGTGACTTTTGTTTAACTGTTAACTAGTGATCAGTTCAGGGCAGTAGCATGCATAAGGTTAACTGTTATCAGTAGCTTTTTATGTATTTTTTTATTTCCACAAATTCATATATGCAAATATTTCCATACATATTTATGCATATGTGTGCAATATCCATGGCATGTCATGGGGAAAATGTCATAATATTTACCCCCACTCATAGGCTCATACTTTCTTGCCAAATTGTCTTCTATAAAGATATCATTCCTTTATTAAAATATTTAATAAATTTAGATTTCTCACATAGGACCCTAAAATGTGTCAGTTTAAACACATGAATACTATACTCAGAGTCACCTATAATGCATTGGTGCATTACAGACTGAAATCAGAAAATCACTTCTCCTTTTGTCCTTTGGCCAGGAGCAATCCCAGATTTAATTTTTCTGTTTCACTCACCTGGTGTCATCCATTTTCTGCTATCTGTCTCTTTTTTTATTATTAGATTTTTTTATAAATATTTATCAACCCAAATTCCCACTCCCTCTTCTCCTCCCATTCCCTCCAACCACTCTCCCAACCCACGCCTCTCTAATCCAAAGAGAGGTTAGGGCACTTTGTTTGTAAAGGTCCAAGGCCCTCCCTATTACATCTAGGCTGAGTAAGGTACACATCCAAAGAGAATAGGATTCTAAAATCCCAGAAACTAGCCAGGAACCTCAGTCTAAACCAAAGCCATCATCTCCAACTGTAGGTTTCCCTATATCGTAGCTATGAAGACCTGGTAAGTCTAAGTCTTTTACATACTGGATCTTTCTCTTCCATGACCTGGTATTTAACAATCTCCACTGGAGCAAGTATGGTCTGTCTCAGGATGGCCATGAACCAACAAGCAGCTGCTCCTCCTACAGATATGCAAAGACCTGTTAAACTTATGTCATTTGAATGAGTAACCTCTACTGGCATGACCTGACCAATAAAAAGAGTAAGGACATTTCCTAGCCTAAAGCCACAGTTCAACAACATGTGGGTGGAAGTTGTTTTTCTCAGTGAGCCAACCAGACTCAAGTGAAAAGAGAGAGTCAGTGGCTGGTTCTGTGCATGTAAGCTGGGCACTCATGGATGCAGACGGTATACGGGAAAACCTTTGCTAAAGTTTTTACAGCCTGCTGCCCTGTGGAGATGACTGCCTCTCCTCCTGGGAGTTGACATCAGTTTGATGGTATGAGAGAAAAAACAGAGTGATCCATTTTGTTGACAAGAATTGCTGTTCCCTTGACTTTGTAGGTACTGCCCCAAATGTAAAAACTCTGTCTCCCTTTAATGACTATTTTTATGTTTCTGGAAATGCATCTACAACTGACCTACAGACTTTACTTAGTCTTATTAGCAGACTGGGCATATCTCCAGAGGCTCAAACCAAAGGTAGGCTTCTTTCCCCTGGTTCTGCTCTCAATCTTACTCTTCCTTCTAGCTCTACTCAGGCACCTGTCTTTTCTAACTTGACAGGTGACTCAGACACACAATCCTCTGAAGTTTTTCTGCCTCCTACTCCTTCTCAGGATCCCTGGTAACTCCTATCTTGACAACCACACCAACTTAACACTAGTCCCCTCACCACGAGTGGGGGGGGGGGTCCAATCTGTAGAACTTCCCTTGCTCCACAAAGCATCCTCAAAAGGAGAGTTAATGACCAGCTCAGACCACTGATTCTTCCTTCTCAGTATCACCTTACAAACAACTTACCATCCCCATGCCTAAAGGAACAGAAGAGTCTTCAAGGAGTGAGGACAGGGAGTCAGGCACAGGGAGGGAAGCTGCAGTGATGATCCAGTAAAAAACCTCACGGGTCAGCATGAATAACATGTGACAGTTCCTCTCCCAGGGCAAAACGGTGTCCCCTGAAGGAAACTGGTAGAGGAAGTAGCCTCTGTGTTTTCACTCAGCAGTAGCAGAATTGCAAAACCTGCAGAGAAGTCCCTACATGGGGAACTACAGACTCTGAGTATTAGATTAGGTCTTGTATGGAGAATGAACACAATGTGGAATAATTTGTGAAGTCACAGAATCAACTCCCCATTTTCAGGAGGAAGAGGCAGCCTCCCCGTTTGACAACATAGACCAGAAATACCAAGAGATGTTTCTGAATGTCAGTGGAGGTCAAAAGAAATTCAAAGAGTGTGAGTTCTTTTCTGAACAGCTCTTTGTAGAAGAATAAACAGAAAAACCCACTTGACTTGATGAAGAAGATGCAAGCCATCCCCAGCAGCTGACATATGAAGTGTCTGCTGCTACTGGAATTATGCCTGATGAAGATTCTCCAGAGTATCCCCACACAGAAGGTACAGGGCAGGATCCTGGGACAACAGCAGCCCAGATCATCATTTCTTCCAACTCTGGAGGATTGTGGAGAATGTTGGACTTGAAAGTTCAGGAGGGGTGCAGGCTCCCTAGGGTTTCTCTGACAGCATTGCCACCTTGCTGTCCCTGTGTTGCTAACCAGTCAGGGATCTCTATGATATGAACAGTATGTGATTCAAACTAAATAAGAGTTTTTAATTTAAGCATATTTTCAGTATCTAGCACGTTAAAACCAATTCAAACTGTTCAAGCTAGCCCCACAGCTACAACTGTGACACCTACTGGCTGGTAACCATTATTGCACCTACTCCAACTTACTACAGTTAAATTTATAGGTCAAATTTAAAATTTATAATTTAAAAGGTCGAGATTGCAGATAATTTAATGATACACGAGTTCAACTGCTTTTTTACTTATACCATGGATGGTATTATACAAGGCTTATGTGATTTACCTTCTACATCACTATATTTGATTCTAGGGATTAGCTTTGCTTTCCATATTTTCTCCTTTAAAAATGTTTGATAATAGAGCAAAAAATATGAGGCACTTTTTAAAATGATAGTCTTTACAGACTAATAAAGTCCAACTAAAAGGGAAAATCAGCACTCTGGAAAATGATACAACCAATTTGGTGGATAAAATCCAGCCAATGACAGGTAGTACTGTTGATGAGGTTTCTGTCCTGCCCAGTTTCCCACAATTGTTAAGTCACAAAGAAATCAGACAGAGGTCTACCTTAGTTATAAACTGATTGGCCCAGTATCTCAGGCTTCTTATTAACTCTTACAACTTATATTAGTTAGCCCATTATTCTTGTCTATGTTAGCCACATGGCTCAGTACCTTTTTAGGCAAGGCAGTCAGATCTTCTCCCTCTGTGGCTGGGGTCACGACTGCCCAATAGGACTTCCTTCTTCCCAGAATTCTCCTGTTCTCTTTGACCCACCTCTGCTTCCTGTCTGGTTGTCTCACCTATACTTTCTGCCTGGCCAATCAGTGTTTATTTAAAATATAATTGACAGAATATAGACTATTGTCCCACACCACTTCCCCCTCTTTAAAAAAACAAAAGAACAAAAACAAAAACTCTGAATATAATATCCTTTGTTTAGTTTTTCTCCTGACCTTTAGCCATAACAACTTGTAACCAACATTCTAAACAAAGGAAAAGATCTATAGTCCATTTTATGGGAAATGTGGGCATAGTTTTACAGGCTAATTCCTGCTGGTTGGGGGTTTTGATAATCATATGGGAACCTAAATAATATTTAGAATTATGATAAAGTCCTAAATGGAGTATCCCGTGAGGCTTTATAATCTCAGGCAGCAATCTTGAATATGTTCTGGATGTAGAACTCAGACATCTGGCCCATCTGTTCCTACCAGAGATTTCTCAGGTGGTATTCCTTGATTAAACCTGATTTTTCTTAACTGAGAATAAATCCATAACCTCTCATTTTTTGTGGAAACAAAAGCATAACCTCTTCTCCAAAGTAACGTATCTTTTGACTTCAATTTTGAAGTCAAGGTATTTTCAAAATACCTATCTTAGATTAGTTCAGCAGCATTTGTAAGCAAATATCTTTTAGCAGCTGTTGCTCCTTCCTCAGCCTTAAAACAATTCAAAGAGAGCATAATAACATACAGTATCCAGATTCTTTGTGTATTTTCCATATTTCCATGGCTTTATTTTAAACTCTTTCTTTTATTTTTATTTTTAAGTTTTTGGCTTTTTGAGACATGTTCTCTGTCTATCTTTGGCTGTCCTGGAACTCCCTCTGTACTGTAGACAAGGCTGTCCATGAACTCACAGAGATCTGCCTGTCTCTGCCTTCCGAGTACTGAGATTAAATGTGTGTACCACCATACCTTGAATTAACAGTGATCTGTATGCCTCTTCCTCCCAAGTGTTGGGATTAAAGGTGTGTGCCACCAGGCCTTGAACTCACAAATATCTGCCTACCTCTCTCTTCCAAGTGTTAGGATTAAAGGTGTGTGCTACCACACACAACTACTCTCTCTTTTTTATTTTAAAAATGTTAACCTTTAGCCTGCATATATTTTTAACACACTGTAAACCATTTAGAGGTTTTTTTTATCTTTGACTCTGTCTTTACTCTCTTTTTCTGACCACGTGAGCCTTTAATTTGCTAAGCCATATGGTTAAGGTTAAAGCCGTGGCTTTGGCGGTTGGATCCAGCCCACTTCTTCGCTTTTTGAGATTCCAGCCTCATGGCAAAGGTACTGGCTATAGCCATGTTTATTTCCACAATTCTATGCATTTTAAAGTCACTGCCAGCAATCAAGCTGCAGCAGTCTAATTACAAACCACAGTCAAATACTCTGTAGCCAGACCTCCTGCCTGAAAGAGAGTTTGCACAGGCAGGATGGCCCAGAAAGCCAGCATTTTAAAATGGAGTAGCTTTTTTTCCTGCTCCGACTGAAAACCAAAAAGCATGTGGTCAGCTTTTTATTAATACCACTTAAGTATTTTGTGGCTGAACTTCTTAAAAGAGCTGCAAAGTTTTGCAGCTAAAGCTGAGTCAGGAAGCCTCTCTTAAATGAGAGTGCTTGCTTGCCTCTAGCTAGCAGAGTAGAACCTATAAATTGCTGCTACCAAGAAGCCATGCATAATACTGTTATTTTGTGTCTAGAATTACTTTCCAAGCTCAATCAGGCTTTATGTGGATGGAGCTGTCAACACGTTGAGTGCCATTCTGTTGACTGAGTAATTCTGTCCTGCCTGGTTCCTGCAGTTGTTAAGTCCCAAAGAAATCACACAGAGGACTACATTAGTTATAAACTGATTGGTCCATTAGCTCAGGCTTCTTATTAACTCACATAATTTATATTAGCCCATTATTCTTGTCTATGTTAGTCATGTAGCTCAGTACCTTATTTGGTGGGGCAGTCACATCTTGATTCTTCTGGGGCTGGGAGAGGACTGCATGTCTAGAACTTCCTTCTTCCCAAAATTCTCAAGTTCTCATTGACCCCCCCCCCCTTGTACTTCTTATCCGGCTACTGACCAATCAGTGTTTGTTTAAAATGTAATTGACAGAATACAGACCATTGTCCCACTCCAGTGTATTGAAAGAGCATATGATCTTTTTTTAAAGTCTCATAGAATTCTGTCTTAAAATCATATTACCCTGGCTTTTTTTTAATTGGTGGATTTTTTTCTAATGATGGGTCCTATTTCCTTAGGTGTTACAAGTCTGTTTAAGTTGTTTATATGACTCTGATTTAACTTTGGTTAGGAGTATCTATTAAAAATTATTCATTACTTTTAGATTTTCTTATTTTGTGGAATACAAGTTTTGAGAATCTCTTTACAATTTGCTCTGGTCCAATTTTCATTTCTTATTTTGTTAATTTGGATAACCTTTCTGTCTTTTAGCTATCATGGACAATGGCTTTTCTCTCTTGTTATATTTCTGAAATAAGCCTTTGAAATAATCTAATCCCCCTTCATGATAAATGTCTTGGAAAGAATATTGATAGGGACATACATAAAGAAAATAAAAGAAATTTACAGTAAGCCTGTAGCCAAGACGAATTTAAATAAAAACTCATAAAAATTCCACTAAAACGAGGAAGAAGACA